TGACTGTGTGTTTGATGTGGCTCTTTGCAGAAACATAGAAAAAATGTGGCTCTTAACCTCTGACTGGTTGGCCAGCCCCTGCTTTAGCATGTCAATAGTTTATCACAATTCAGTGGATATTGTTTGTTAAAGTAATTATTTATGAAAACAAAGGGCTGATTGGATTTATTAACCTCATAGCAGCTGTGCTTTTAATTCCCGTGATGTTGAAAAGTCAACACCCAACAACAGACCCACAGCATTTAACTGGTATCTAAAGTGTGATAATTGAAAACCGTTATGGATTTGGAAAGGTCATTTTTTACCTAACTGTTGCACCAGGCCCTGTGATTACAAATGAAGTGTGTGTCTGTCTGTCTGTCTGTCTGTCTGTCTGTCTGTCTGTCTGTCTGTCTGTCTGTCTGTCTGTCTGTCTGTCTGTCTGTCTGTCTGTCTGTCTGTCTGTCTGTCTGTCTGTCTGTCTGTCTGTCTGTCTGTCTGTCTGTCTCTCTGTCTGTCTGTCTGTCTGTCTGTTGTCTGTCTGTCTGTCTGTCTGTCTGTCTGTCTGTCTGTCTGTCTGTCTGTCTGCCTGTCTGCCTGTCTGTCTGTCTGTCTGTCTGTCTGTCTGTCTGTGCGAGAGTGCATTCTTACTCTTATATGTTCAATATGTTCTCATTAAAAGCCTCTGACTGACTGTAATGTAAAAGTCAGAGAGGAGTCTTGAGTCTAATTTGGCAAAAATAAAAACATGCGGCTGGACATGGGCTGTTTAAAAATGACAGTACATTACCAGTTGTAGCTGTGACGCACTTCAATAGCTCGCCCCATTGGTTGTGGGTCCTAAATAAATCAGTGTTCTCCCTGAGAGGCTGAAATGTAGCATCCTAGGTTTGTTTGATGTTGTGTGTGTTAGCAAATAAACCAACAATACCTGCAAACACGTGGCTGCAGTCTTTGAAATGTTGCTTTTGTTTAGATAATCCAGAAGAAAAGCCATGTGTAATGTAACCTGCAGACTATGAGCAGTGCAGTGGAGCAACGTAGCATGAAATAATGATACAACCTAAAAGGAGCACATGAGTTAAACTGTGAGACTTTAAGTGCATGAGAATAGTTTCAACAAAAGCTGACATGCTGTAGAGTAGGAGATCAGACATGAACAGTATTTTCAACTGTTCAAAGGACATTGGCATGAACAGGACTGTGTTAGTCATTAGATTATAGATACTAATATTATAAAAACCATAAAAGCCTTAAGACATATTATATTATTAGATTAAAAAACAGTCATCAGAAAGCCAAGAAAATACAAATTACAACAAGCTAAAAACTAAATAAGAAAGTATTAAAATACTTGTTAAAAAAAGTGTTTTGTTTAGTTATTTGATTTAATAAGAAAATAAAGCAACATGATCAGAATGTGAATAATTTATTTTTCCTGGGGGAGTTAGGTTTTGTGACAGTTATACAATTTTGGGAAAAAACGATTTAATACATATTTATATAGAAATAAAAAGTCATGGCAGCCACTGGGACTTGCTGTCAATGAAAGCAAAGCATTGTGGGGAGTTCACTTTAGTTTGACCAATTGGAAGTTGTTTCTGGAAGGATGCAGGTCTACTGTAGTAAATGGGAATGTCATTGACACATCCGTCAAATAAAATAAATCTAAGTTGCTCAGCTTGTCTCTAGGCAGACTTCTATCTTTGTAGACATTGACATCAGGACGGCAGATAGCTTGCACATCTTCCGGCGCAAACTGAAAACTCATCTCTTTCGACTCCTCTTCGAGCGTTAGAACTATTAACGAAGCACTTTTATACTAATAAAGGACTGGCTTATCTAAAGCCAGTTGAGTAGCACTTGAAATGTTTGGCTCTATGAAACCTGATGTACTTTATGATTCTGTTTTCTTCAAGGTTGTGTCTTCCTGGTCGAATGTACTTATTGTAAGTCGCTTTGGATAAAAGCGTCAGCTAAATGTAATGTAATGTAATGTCTACAGGGGGGTCAAACTCAATTTCATCCCGGGCCACATCAGCATTATGGTTGCACTCAAAGGGCCGGTTGTAATTTATATAAATATTAGGGCCGGGACTTTAACGCGTTAATTAAGATTAATTAATTACACAAAAATTAACGCGTTAAAAAAATTAACGTATTTTAATCGCACTTATTTTTGCACCGCGGAACGTTTCTCACTCGATGAGTTTCAGGCGTACCGATTATACTGGAGCACCAACTAACGTTCATGACTTCAGACAACAACAAACCACAGTGAACAACAGTGGGAAATGTTGTTTTAAAAAACGGACGGATGGAAGCGTCGATAAGAGCACGGTTGTGTGCAAATTATGCAAAAAGGAATTCGCATATCACCGCAGCACATCAAGCCTCAAGTATCACCTCAATGCAAAACATATAGCAGCTAGCGTGGACGTTAGCCTCTTTTATCGCGTTCACACCAAAAAGAGCCGGTACTAAAATTAGTTCATGAGAACCTTTTTACCCCCACGAAAGTCCCTGCTAGAGAGCAGAGAGCTGCTAGAGAGCAGGGACTTTCGTACGGCTCTCTTGTGAGAAAATAGCTATATTTCTGATTGGCTGGGCGGATTGCAAACCACGCCCCGTAAAACTCCCAAAAAGTGTTGTGAAGCCGCCATTTTATTATCCTCGCATTAGCATTATTAGCATTAGCCCAGCGCAGAAACGCAGAGAGACTAACTTATGGCAACACAAAATAAAACATGGGAGCGGTGGAGATGAGAAGGTGTCGGCGTTCTGGCGATTTACTCGGAAGGCTTCAGTAGAAGCTGCTGGGACTCCCAGCAGCTTCTACTGAAGCCTTCCCCAACTCCGGGGACTTCCGGCCGGGGACTTTGGGCGGCAGTATACGCCGTGAAGTGGTTTGCGGCCTGCCAGTAAACCCAAAGCAGAAGAAGAAGAAGAAGAAGTGACGTCAGCGGCTTCATTTGCCTAATCCTCCCCCAGGTATGAGTTCTCATGAACTAAATTCTCATGAACCTTTGTGGGAAAAGTACTGCTGTGTGAATGCGCCTATAGGTATACTAAAATCCATGTGAAAAAAATTGCTTCTCACTGTTCTTAGGTCAAATATTTATATGTGATTAAAAATGCGATTAATTTCGATTAATTAATTACAAAGCCTCTAATTAATTAGATTAATTTTTTTAATCGAGTCCCGGCCCTAATAAATATACATGTAAATATATTATATATATTAAATAATGTATTATATTACATTGTTGTCCCTGCATTGGATTATTATCAGGTCTGGTAATATCTTCCTAAATAACTACGTCTGAAAGCAGAAGTCTAGGGCAAATTATTGAAAGTAAATATTCAACAATTACACCAATTGTATTGTATTGTATATTATATTCGTTGTGGGCCACATCAAATTAGGTCGCGGGCCGGATTTGGCCCCCGGGCCTTGAGTTTGACACCCCTGGTCTACATGAACGTGTAAGGATTTAGGAAATGTAGCTTTGAAGTTTGCATTTTGACTGAACTTGCTGTAGTAACATCACACCAGACTTTGAAATGGACAAGTGTTCCTCTTTAAACTCCGGCCGCTTGAAAGACTGCAGGAAGTGAGCAGCCTCATGTTGACGAGCACATCGAACAGAAGATCAGATTAGCAGTAATCCTCTGTTCGACTTGTTGAAGCTTCTCCAATCTCTTGTCCATCACTCTCATTCCTGATATAGTTTCAGGCAATCTGCCAAGGCGTCAGTGCATTGATACTGTACAGGAATTACCATGCCTAAAAGTACTCTAATTATACTGTCTTTTGCACGATGTAGCTTCTGTAAATATATTTAAGTGTGCTTCAGTGAGCTATTCCAAAGCAAAGCATGTAACAACTCCCTTGTATTGAAAACACCGCTCCAATAACTGACATATAATGACATTTATTATATTTGGAGAGTTATGGTTATAGCTTTGTTTGTTTGTTTCTAAATGATCTTGTATACATCTAACAGACTCTGGAAGCGGTCATACAGCACACTGAACAACATCAGAGGGAAGCTGGCATTTCAAACAGGCCTAATCATAACTAACTAAATGTCTGAAACTATGAAAGGAAATATCAGAGAGGGGAAAAAGGCTTTATAAAGTTCTGCATCACTTACTTTTCAATTACAGCAGCCGAAGCAGAACGAAATTGTTAGTGTCATTTATCGACTGTGGTGCTCTCCATTAGAGAAACAACTGAGAGGAATCCATCCCGTGTTTATAACCACCTGCATGTCTGACAATAACAAAGAGTTTGTTTCCGTCAGCTGGCCTCAAGTCTTTCTGTTGAGATGCAGCAGCAGAGGAGAAGCTGCAGGTAATCACCATGTATTCCCCGAAACAATGACCTTAGAGTGAGAAGTAATTGGTGTCTTAATTGATCACAATGAATCATGACAGCTGTCATGTCCTGCTTCATCCTTTTAAGAACTATTCTTGGAACTAAACACACTTTTCTTAAATATGTTGATTTGATTTTGGATATCTTAAGAAATCAAAAATGAATTTATTATTCAAGATTCAAAGATTCATATGTTGTCATTTGCACAATAGCTATAAGACTAGTTGTTTGCAATGACAATGTTAGGTCCCAAGGCCGAATCAACAGTGCAATATACAATATACTTACGACATAAAATAAATAAGGAAGTGAAATAGTGCAATGAAAAATGGTGCAAGTAAAATACAGGATTAAGTCAACTATGTACATGTAAGATAGAATAAGATAAAAGCAGAAATAATACGCAGTAGAATACATACTGTATACTGTAATGATATATTAATATGTGGATATTTGAAATAAACAGTACTACATGTGCTATGAGATAGTGTTTTAAATGTTTACATAAATAAAATAAGTAGTTTTTTAATACTTATCTTACAGTAAAGTTGATGTTATGTCTATTACTCATGCCTTGATGATCTTCCCTGGTGATGTGGACCAGGCAAGAGTAGCCGAGCGCAGACACCCTCCCCAACCCCCCTATGTGTATATATTTTTTTCTAATACTTTGTGAGGAAAAACTGTCAACCATATCCAAAGTGCAGGACCAAAGAGAAGTAAATAATGTATGCTTTTGTTAGATTCTTTGAAGACGATATGTGCTACGCGTTGCCCGTTTCCACAGTGGAAGATTTCAGACCTCTGCACAGGACAGATTTTGATAATCAGAAGGTGTATCTGGTTCACAGAACTGAAGAGAATGGCAGCAGTGCAGGCCAGCCGAGCGAAGCGCAGATCCTTGCCCTTGCAGGTAAGTTAACCTCTTAATACATCAGCGGTTCTCCTTTTGAATGCTCTTTTTTCATCACTAAGTAACGTTGACGTGCGCGGAACGTGTCAGGGTGTCAAAGCCGGTCCTTTTTTCATCCGATCTGTCAGAGACGTGATCAGCTGTCTGACACTGAAGCCACAACAACGTCCTCGGCTAGCTAGATAAGCTAGTGAGATATGCTAAGATAAGTTTGGTAGGTAGCCATACCTTGACAGCAATGCAGACTATAAACACTCAGGGTGTTGTTCTCCCAGAGTGCTTGTTTGTTTCGATAGAGTAGTTTTTGTGTCGTTTAATACGTGGCATTACACAGGCACCTCGGTTGTTTACAACACGCAGCTAACACTTGCTAGCTTCATGTGTATTCGTTCCGCGTTAGCATGTTAGCACTGACGCGCTAGTTAGCAGCCGCGTCACAACATGGTAAACACATGTGACAGTGGTGGACCCCTCATGTGTATATTTTAAAGGTCTAGACATGTAGACTAGACTGTAGCTGAAGCCCCTGTTCTGGGTTGCGGTTAGCTTGTTAGCTTATCTGTTGGTGTATGCCACAGAGCGGATGCGGTGCTGCAGTCATCACCAGATATGAATGGACATATAGCTGTCAGTGACATGTCATGGCTGCTTCATGACAGCGCATACATGTGGTGTAAAATAACATGCTTAACGTTAGTCTCAGTGATGTTTGCTCACGGTGGTTTTCCATGCTCGATTTTAGCTGCATCACTAATCCCCAAACTGAGCTGTCTGGTCCTCACCGACCTGTTTAACACACCTCACACAGCAGCAGTGAGTGACACTGTGTTACAGCCGTGATGCCAGGACTATGTGTATCTGTTTATCTTACATTTAACTTCTATGCTAAGGGTGCTAAAGTTGGTTTGTTGTAGCAGAATGGAGAGACCAAGCGCCCTCTGCTCCAGTTTGACAAATGGATGAAATAATTCTACAGGTACTTTTTTAAGTTTTATGAAAACTTTTTGAAAACTTTACGAGTTTCTCCCTGCTTCTTATTTCTGCACTCCACAGATACAGTAGAGGAATTTGAAGACAGTATAATGCAAAAGAAGATGAAAATTCCCAAGATGTCCATCAAGAATTCAGGAAACTCAATTGAGAACAATTTTGGAGAGGAGAGAATGCCACTCAGACATAAAAAGGTAGGCTCCATAGATCAGATATCACACTTCATAATACACCCAGTTGTGCTCTTAGTGACACCAGTGATGAAATCCATCAAACTTCCCCCTTGTTTACACTGAAAGATCTTATCTAATAATACTGTAGAACGAGTCAATTACAACTTTGTTATGGTATATTGTATATCAATATATTATAATAATAAATAATAATAATACATGGGATTTGTATAGCGCTTTTCCTAATGCTCAAAGACGTTAAATTAATGATGTAATATTTATCTATTATCTTTTCAATGTACACACGACAGCTATTGCACTTCGGATCCCTCCTCTGTTTCTCTCCCAGAAGTATTATCAATGTTCCCATTAACTCGGGGTCTCTCCCATTAACTGGGGGGTCTCTCCCATTAACTCGGGGTCTCTCCCATTAACTGGGGGGTCTCTCCCATTAACTGGGGAGTCTCTCCCATTAACTCGGGGGTCTCTCCCATTAACTGGGGTTTTTATTTGGGGGGGTTTCCTTGTCCGATGTGAGGGTCTAAGGACAGAGTGTGTGGTATTCATATTCTCTACAAACTGTAAAGTCCACTGAGAAAAATCTAAAATATGTGACATTAAATAAAATAAACTCTGATTGATAACAAATTAAAATCAACCATATTTGAGGTGGCTCAGATTAGTGCATTTCTAGTGAAGTATCCCACTTATATTGACCATCTTGTGTCATGTCACTAAGGACCCTTAATATTTTGTCCTCATTGAACCACACTTATATCAGCACTAACCGTGGGCACATGTATGACAGCATGTGTCATGTTGATGCATACACAGGAACATCATTATTTGTATCTAACCTATCTATTGGTTAAACTTTGTTACACTTCAATAAGCTTGGCTGACACCCAAACTCCCCCATGCTATTTTTACCATATGCTGGATTAACACAAATTCAGCACTCTGGACAGCTGCCCTTCCACAGACAAATCCTCTGAGCGGCTCATCAAAGAACTCGCTGACTCCTCTTCTCCCAGTTCCTGTGAGATCAACAGTCAAAACAAACTGCCTGTTGTTGCTAAGTGTTCAACTGAATCACAACATCTCACATTAAGTGCACTGATGCAGCAGACCGTTGAGATATTCTGTTAAAGTGTATTCGGCCCTCTTCCAAACACCTGTTTTGTGTTTTAATGATCAACTTGTTAAAGTTTTTACAATGCACATGTCACTACATCGGCCTGTATTCCCCCCCCGCCCCACTGGACTTTAAAACCACACACACTCAGACACTCAACACACACACACACACACACACACACACACACACACACACACACACACACACACACACACACACACACACACACACAAGGCACTTTTTAAGCTGCTATGGACAGTCTTGCACTAATGTACATTTCTCAAAGATATTGAAGTGACTGTTATTTTGTATATATTGATTCTTGTGCTTTTATGTATGTCTTAATATGTGTATAAATGTGTCTGTTGATTATGTATATATAGGTATATACATATTTGTATATATATTTGTTTTTCCGAATCAGAATCCCTTTATTAGTCCCACAGAGGGGAGATGTTACAGCAGAAACGAGCCAAAGACAGCTCAATGTTACCTAAGAAGCATACAAAAGTATTATAATAAAAAAAGTTACACAATTTACAAAATACACATCCTGTAACAGTTCTGAGGATTTAGCAGCTAGGTATATATTGCACGGTTATTAACGTATTGTATTAGGGATTGTGGGAAAGGGTATTTCGATCTCTCCGTCTGTACACACAAACTGAAAGATTGACAATAAAGTTGCCTTTGACTTTGATATCCTAAATGAACCCTTGTTATTTGTTCCAGGCCTTGTCTCAGGACCACGGACGGCCCCTTTCAAACTCCTCTAAGAGCCTCGCAGCAGTAGTGGCTCGCCTCGAGAGGAACGCAGCCAGCTCCTGTATGGAGGGAGAGGAAGACCTGGATGAGGACCGGCTGGGTGAAGAGGGAGAGGATGCAGACGACGAAGATGAAGATATGGAGGCAGAGCATCAGCCTCATCAGCCTCATCATCATCCACCACAGCCGCAGCAGCTTCTGGAGGTGGAAACGGACTGTGTGTCTGCAGCGGTGGTTCCCAGAGTCCTGTACGAGGAGCTGGTGCTCAGCTACAGGCAGCAGGAGGAGGAGATGAGGAGGCTGCAGCAGGAGCTGGAGAGGACCCGCAGGCAGCTAGTGCAGCAGGCCAAGAAGCTCAAGGAGTACGGCAGCTTGCTGACAGAAGTCAAAGAGCTGAGGGACTTCAACAGGAGGCTGCAGGACGTACTACTCATGAGACTGGGCAGCGGTGAGAGGCCAGGAGCACACACACCAACACACACGTTTATTAGCGACCTTTAACCCACTATATTCAAATCAATTCAATTCAAATGTATCTATATAGCCTATATATGTCATAAATCACATTTGTCTCAGAGGGCTTCACAAATCAACAAACACGAATGATAATGTAAAAACAACAACAAACATGTCTGAGAATAGAGTAAAAAGACAGGATAAATGTGAAAATACAGATGAATGGGTACAAAACACAATGACACAAATACAGTTAGAATACTGTAAGGGAAACTTCTGCAGCAATGGAGAGTCAGGACTCAGAGAGACACGAGGAGAGTTGGAGCTTTGATGTCAAACACTGATGTTTATTACAAGTCAACGGCCGGAGAATTCATATCACAAGTCACAGCAGCAAAAGGTTCTGACTGCACGGGTGGGTTGTCATGTCAATTCTGCCCAGCCTATCTCTGGATAGATCTTTTAACTAGTTTACAGAGAGTTAATGAGCATATTGGGGGAGGCGTAAACATCTGTGGAGCTTAGAAAGCCAGCGTTCCCACAGCCGTAAACCATTTCGTGACCGAGAGTTGAACTGGTTTATCAAGATAGCTGGAGCCTCCCATTCCTTAAGAGAGATAACAGAGCCAGGGTTTGGTCGTAAACCTCAACAGGCAATAAGGTTAAATATCTTGGGAGTAAGGAAGAATTATTCCCTCACAAATACAATAATTAAAATTCCATAAAATGTTTATAAGATGTTTAAAAGTGAGTTTAAAGCTGTGAGGGAATCATTTTGTCTTTACTCCTTACTCCTCCGATATTTAACCTTATTGCCTGTTGACGTTAATAACCAACCAATATTCTGTTATCTCCTTTAAGGAATGTGCTCCAGCACTTAAGTGTCAGTTTTATGGCCTGATGGGGGGGTTTACGACTGTGAGAATGCTGGCTTCTAAACACCACTGACAAGTGATTGAGTATTTCTAGTTGGGGGATATCTCCTGTAGCTCCACAGATGTCTATCGAGAGATAGGCTGATCAGAATTGACATGACAACCCACCCGTGCAGTCAGCACCTTTTGCTGCTGTGACTTGTGATATGAATTCTCCGGCCGTTGACTTGTAATAAACTACCAGTGTTTGACATCAAAGCTCCAACTCTCCTCGTGTCTCTCTGAGTCCTGACTCTCCATTGCTGCAGAAGTTTCTCTTTCAAAAGCCAGTCCTAACTGTACGCTGAACTAAAGAGGAAAGTCTTCAGCCCACTCTTACATGTGTGGACACTGTCTGCCTCCCTAATCAACACTGGAAGTCAGATCCAAATGTATTATCAGGGTTAGGGCTTAGGGTTACCTAACCCTGAGCCAAAGTCAACTTTATTGTCAATCTTTCAGTTTGTGTGTACAGACGGAGAGATCAAAATACGTTTCCAGCAATCCCAAATACAAAAATACAAATATATACAAATATGTATATCCTATATATACACAATCAACAGACACATGTGCACACATTAAGATAAAAACTCAACAATCAATAGAAACAAAATAACAGTCACTTCAATATCTTTGGGAATTATACAACATCATAAGTATTGCCATGTGATGAAAGCACGTGACTGAAGTGATGCTAATGGAGATGGAAACTAGTTTACAAGGAAGACAGATGCGAAGAGATGGGTTTTGAGTTTGCTTTTAAAGGAGTCAACGAAATTAACTTTCTGTGTCTGAAATATAAGACGATTCCAAAGATCCTCTGATGTGCTGTTTACACGGGTTGTATCCGCTACTTTTCTCTTTCGTATAGCCCGTTCGTTCACACGAGAAACGGACCCCTAAAACGATAACGGGTCCCAAGGTGGAAAGATCTGCGGCGCAAACGCTCTGGGGGGCCAAACGGCTCCGTGTGTACGTCCTATACGATCATGTTCCTGATAACGATGAAGCCATAGCCCCGCCTCTCCGCACCTCTGCTGCTCACTGCTGTAGCATGGTCAGTAGCTACTGTCAGACGCTACTGACCATGCTACAGATGTTAGTACAAAATCTACTGCTCCTCTGCCACAACCATGAGCAACACGTGGACATGGAGAACTACATGAACTACATGTTGCTAAATCCACCGCGGAGAATACACAAGGGCAACCATGGCAACCATGCTCGGGGTCTTCTTCGCTGCTTTTCGTGTATTTTGTGGCGGAAGTACAGCGCCACTTACAGGCCCGGCATATGTACTACAGCGTCTCCAGCGGGTCGAGCGGTCTCGTGTGAACGGAAGACTTTTTTGATATCGAATTTGGTTAGTTTGCGTTCCCGTGTAAATGGGCTCTGAATGAAAAGGCTCTGCCACAACAGAGGCACAACAGTTAAAGGAGTACTTGTATAGTAGGAGCACTGCAATTAAGAGCCTTTTGTTCTGCGCACAGTCAGGTTGTGTGTCGATCTAGTCTAATCCTATTGTTTGCTGTGTCTTTAGACAACGCACTGATTTAAATCCTATGACCTGAAAAGGATCCATTTACTTTTTTTAGCAACAGTGCCAAACGTCATTGTTGTAAAGTTAGAAAAAAAGATTCAACTTAAGGCCCTTAAATAGTTTTACTGTGCTTTAAGAACATATATTTCGTCTTAGACAGACATGAGCATTTAGGACTGCTTTTAAAATTCTGTGTGTCTCTTCTGATTTTAAGATAACGTTACAAATGAAACCAAAGTAGATCAGTGTGAGTTAGGACTGCTTGGTTTGACTTGCTTTTTAGGTTGACAGATTAGAATAGGATTAATGACGAGTGACCTTCCTAAAACACAAGTTGGTTGTGAGTTCAGTGAAGCCAAATAGGATGAATTATTAGGTCGCAATTTGTAAAGATATTGGTTTCAAAAGCTCACCTGCAGCAGTGTGAACAGACACATTTTGCTCATACAGGAAGTCATGCAACGTTTGTATTGTTCAGCCCTTTTTTGAATGCACTGAATCAACATTTCCTCAACAGCAACAGTTTCCTGAACTCTCCAACAAGACTTAAAATATCAGATTTAAAGAAACAATCATGGGCAAGGGAATTCAAAGACAGATCTTTCCTCTCGCACAGCTATGGGTGGAATATGAGCAGTCAGTGAGGAAGTGTTCGTCTCAAAACACAAAAAAAACTTCAGGTAAATTAAAACTTATTGTTTTTTGTAATAGTTATGAGACACACACATTATAACAACAATATAGTCCAGCATCAGTAAAGTATTTAATCCAATACAGGAAGTTAAATAAAAGGCACTGTAATGCCTGCAACATTACTGCTGTGGTACTGTCCGTCCTATCTTCTCCATTAAGTTTGTCATTGCTAAAGGCACTTAATGGGGCGAAGCCTGCGACCTAGTTCAGGCAGTCAACTCAAGCACTTATGCTGCAGTCATACATAACGCCCCTTGCCACTCTACAACCAACCAACCAGAGTCTCCTTAATATGCCGCTCTATTTAACCTGCCATGTGGGTAGGTAGGTAGGTGGGTAGGTGGGTAGGTGGGTAGGTGGGTGTTTAAGTGGGTAGGTGGGTGGGTAGGTAGGTAGGTGAGAGAGGAAGGTAGGTAGGTAGGTAGGTAGGTAGGTAGGTAGGTAGGTAGGTAGGTAGGTAGGTAGGTAGGTAGGTAGGTAGGTAGGTAGGTGAGAGAGGAAGGTAGGTAGGTAGGTAGGTAGGTAGGTAGGTAGGTAGGTAGGTAGGTAGGTAGGTAGGTAGGTAGGTAGGTAGGTAGGTAGGTAGGTAGGTAGGTAGGTAGGTGAGAGAGGTAGGTAGGTAGGTAGGTAGGTAGAGAGGTAGGTAGGTAGGTAGGTAGGTAGGTAGGTAGGTAGAAAAGGTCCTATGGCACACACACACACACACTGCTTAAGTAGGCGGTGTTTCCTGGGTGTAAGTGTGATTAAAAGCGGTGTCATTGCAGTGTAGAAACTGGAGCTTTGCCAGATGTTGGAGTTGACTTCTGACCCCCCGTAGATCAGGACAGGGTCTGCCGGGACCCTCTAATGGACGTCTGCAGATTAGAGCCTGGTGTGCTGTGGGAACACATTAAAACTCATCAGCTACATTGGGGCTTAACATGGCCCAACACCAAGCCAGCTTACTTACTGGGCTAAAATATCTGAGTGTCTCGAGGCACACGGACGCATTGGGCCCAGAACAGGAAGCATGTGAGACAAGAAGGGGCGAAATGTGCAGGGGTGAAGAGCAGAACACTGCTTCCAGACTCTGAAGGGGTTCAAGTGCAACTGGTTGTTTACTGAGTGTGTTTGTGAGCTTTGCTTAAGGTGCTGACTGACAATAATAATAACTAGACTATAAAATGCTGTAGGCTGTGCAAATGTGTAGTTGAATTTAGCTGAAAATACAGAAAAAGTGGAATATGTTATTAGTTGAATGGTGTCTGTAGCTGCTTTTAGCTACAGACACAAAGTAAGTCGTGTGTTGCTGAACTTAGCGGAGAAATGCAGAAAAGTGGAATGGTTTTTTAAAAAATGGTTAAAGCTCAAACTGCACTGACTTTGTTGGAGAACTGGAAAGTGAAAGGTTAAACTGGAAGAGTAGGACACATAGTGGTGAAGCTTAATATTTAAAATATATTTGTATCAGTCAATGTATTGAACATGTCAGAAACAAAACCACGATTCTAATAATAATTATAACAAAAAGAAGCAAAAAAGAAATACAAATAAATACATTCTCAAATAGTCACTTTAAACACGGGCAAGCAGAAGCTTTAAAAAGGTTTCTGGTCCTACCTACGCTTCTACCCCCTCTAGCGTACGTCCACACAGCAGCTTTAGACGAATCTTCCACTGCTTCCACCGCTTCTCTGCACATTGACTTTGAATGGGGGTGACGTCACTTTGCCTCGCTTTTCGCCGAACTGCATTGTGGGGGAGCGAAGCGAAGATTTCCAGGATTTCCAGGATTCAAAAGTTGAGCAATGTTCAACTTTTGAAGCTGAGCTGGAAGCGTCAGCCAATCAAATCACGTTTATGCAAATCTGACAGTAGAAGCGCTAGCCAATCAAACCGCGTGTAAGCAGGGAGAACCAGACGGCAGTTCATTTCCTCATATTCCAAACGAGAAATTACGGTAGCAAATCACCCGGTTCTTTACGACCAGAACTAACTGGATACAAACCGGAGGAACCAGGCATGGAGGGAGGTGGCAGAGACAGTGGGTGAAACTGGTAGGGTTTCGCCTGTTTGGGGAGTTTATATATATATATATATATATATATATATATATATATATATATATATATATTGCTCTCATAAAATCCCCGGGGTTTTTTGCTTTGTATGTCGGGGGCGGGAGATTCATGTGATTGGTTGTTGGTCGCATTGCTCGCAAAAAATCCCCAAGCTTTCAGACACGCCCAGCTCCAAGATTTTCAAGATTTTTGAAAAGTTGCTGTGTGGACGTACCGTAAGTCCCTCACAGTCTTTCAGTCCCGCCTCAAAACCCATCTTTTCAACTCTGTCTACCCATAAGCCCCCCCCCCTCTCAATCAACTTCCTCTTGTTTGCCTTTTTATTTTTTACTTACTTGTTTGCCTGTCCTTGTTTGTCTACCCTCCCTCATACTGTAAAGCGTCTTTGAGTTGTGAAAAGCGCTATATAAATAAAATGCATTATTATTATTATTTGAGTGATGTGGTGAGGGCGGAAGAGTCTCTCTTTAATGTTTTTTAATCTTTATCTCTCTCCAGAGCCTATGCATGACAACGGCACTCAGACAATCAAGGCTGAAGTTGTTGAACCCATTGTTGAGGCGCAGGAGACGTGCCGAGAAGAAGCCAACACCAGCTCCAGCTACTCCCCCTCACCCAGAACAGTGTACACCTGCAACGATGGGAAGGTACGTCTCACTGGGCTGAGGGGCATTCTTCCTTTAGCTGGCTTTTCTTGTTTCCCTTAAGCTGTCTGGTCTTGTCCAGTTCTGAGCAAAATGAACAAACAAATCCTCTTGAACAAGTCTTTTGACTGTATTATATGTACAGGGTAAGCCTGCTTTTCATAGCAAACAACAAAAGAAGCAAATGGTAAGGTAATATTTGAGTAGTGTTGACTCATACGTGATGACAGATGCATCGAAGATAAGTTTCATGGGACGGACGGGCAGCACTAGCAGTTACAAGCATTACTACAATGGAGAAACTGACGCTACATCATGCAGAAAATAACTATTTTTCTTAGCGGATGCATGTCATTTAAAATAAATAATAGCCTACTACATTTTCTAAATCTATAAAAGCATTTTAATTAATATTGGGAATCATATCGTTACTTTGTTGAGAATGTGGTGCGTTCACACCGGAGTACTTTTCCCGTTTAGTTCCGATAGTGCCTGGAATTTTGCGTTCACACCAAAAAGAGAACTTAGTTCCGAGAACTTTTACCCCCATTGTTATGAGAGGTGGGACTTTCCTGGGGAGAAAAAAGTACCAATTTCTGATTGGCTGGGCGGATTGCAAACCACGCCCCGTAAAACTCTGAAAAGTTTTTTGAAGCCGCCATTGTATTTGCTGGCATTAGCATTATTAGCATTAGCATTAGCCCCGCGCACCAACGCAGAGAGACTAACTTATGGCAACACAAAAGAAAACATGGGAGTGGTGGAGATGAGGAGGTGTCGGCGTTCTAGCGATTTACTCGGAAGGCTTCAGTAGAAGCTGCTGGGAGTCAATCAATCAGACTTTATTTTTGGGACCTTCCATACACAAAGATAACAGAAAGTCATTCACAAACCAAAAGCAAAATAAACCCCCCCTCTCCCAGGTCATAGACAGGGCATACAGTACGATGAAAGAAAACACTTGATATTGACAGAGGTGAATGAGAGTCAGTACCAGGTCTATCACCAGCTGGGTTGACACGTACGAGGAATTTGACTTGGTGTCGTTACAGGTTACTTGTTGGACGCTTTTATCCAAAGCGACTTACATACTCAATACTGTGGACAATCCCCACAGGAGCACTTTGGGGTGAAGTGCCTCAGGGACACAACGACATGCTGACTGCAGTGGGGTTTGAACCTGTGACCCCCTGATCCCAACACCTATCGTGGTGCGTACATACAATTAAAACACAGATAGAAAACTATTTGCAGTATTTACATTGAAATAGAATCTAATGAAATATTATGACCGAAAGAACGAGATCGCGGATACAAGCGGCCGAGATGGGTTTTCTCCGCAGGGTGGCTGGTGTCTCCCTTAGGGATAAGGTGAGAAGTTCGGTCATCAGGGAGGGACTCGGAGTTGAGCCGCTCCTCCTTCGCGTCGAAAGGAGCCAGTTGAGGTGGTTCGGGCACCTAGTAAGGATGCCACCTGGGCGCCTCCCTAGGGAGGTGTTCCAGGCACGTCCAGCTGGGAAGAGACCAAGGGGTAGACCTAGGACCAGGTGGAGGGATTATATCTCTTCGCTGGCCTGGGAGCGCCTTGGGATCCCCCAGTCAGAGCTGGTTGATGAGGGGAAAGGAACGTTTGGGGCTCTCTGCTGGAACTGATACCCCCGCGACCCGACCACGGATAATGGAGAAGATGGATGGATGGAAATATGTGCAGTAAAAAAAAAACACAGGAGTGAATAAAACTAACACTTTTTATTCATCTGGTCGAATGTCAAACTACACATAGAGACGTTCACCCCTAACTCACCGAATATCCCGCCACCCTCTCCCCCGTCGTTCACAAACCAAAAACAAGCGCAATAAACAAAAACAAACACTGCTAACCCCTCTCCCAGGTCATAAACGGAGCATACGACTATTTGATGAATAAAAACACTTTATATTGACAGAAGTAGATAAGAGTGAATACAACAGGAATAAACACCTGTGTCTGGTCGAATATCAAACTACACATAGGGACTTTCACCCTCAATTCACCGAATATCCCGCCACCCTCTCAGCCCTGATTTGACTTCCCTTCCCTCCCTTGTATCCCTCCCCTCTCGTCCGTGGGAAGTGTTTCCTGATTTGTAGGAAATGCTGTGTTTCCTCTTAACTCCCATGAACCTGGCAACCTGCCGTCAGAGTCGATCAGTCCTTTAGCCGGTAAACAAGGCTGAGAAGATTATTGTTGTTCCTGCAAGCTCAGCCAGCATCATCAGTGTTTATTAGCCTGTTAGGGTTCTTTACTCCCCCTCCACCCTCACCCCTTCTCCCGCGCTGTAACTCACCCAGCGTCCTGTCTCTGATGATGGGGGTACTACAAGCTCTTGGGCCTGAAGCCACTTCAAGCGTGAAGAACACTTGCAAATTAGAAGTGTCCTACATCAGGGACCCCATATTAATTATTTGCACGAGAGGAATTTAAAGTGAGTGACAGGTTAGCCCCAGTGAGAGAGGAGAGGAGGGGAAGGGAGGGACAACAGGAAGAAGGATAAGGAAGGAGGGAGATAAACGAGAGCAGAGGGGGGATGAAAACAATCTTGTCTAACTTAAGGGCAGTAAAGGGCTTGTCTGCTGGCCCGGAGCCTAAAGCACATTAGCTGCACGGGGAAAAGCCTTTTGGATGCCGGCCTAAAGACTTAACAGTGATAAGAGAGTGGAGAAGAGAAAGTCACATATGCCCCCCCTCGTGATGCATTAGCTCACCTAGAAGAGCAGGGCAGTCGTCTAGATAGGCGGGAAATCAGCTTGACTTACGCAACGTGCGCTGGAAGTGTGTATGGAGATAATCCAGGCCTGAGCTTATGTATCCTGGTTAGTGAAAGTGGTGCTTCTTAGGATTTGTCATTTGGTCTCAATAGGAGCTGCCTTGAGAAACCTATGATCTGGTTTAACATTTAGCTTTTCAGAATCAGAATCAGGTTTATCACCAGGTCGGAGGAATTGACTTGGTGTCGTGGTGCAAAAAACTAAAAAACAACACAGATGGAAAACTATTTTAACCCTCTAATAAGAATAAAAATAAGAACAATTATTTTCCAACTAAATGGAGCATTGGTGACACAAACGTCCCAGAGCAGAAGGAGGGTCATCATGATAGTGTTTTATTGAGTTTAACAATACACAGCACATTTGTTTTTGTCCAGTAAAGTCTAGATAGGCGGGAAATCGGCTTGTCTTAGTTATTGTTGGAAGGCTTTGTTGAACAGATGAGTTTTCAGGGTAGATTTGAAGATGTTCAGAGAAGGGGCGTTACGGATTTCAGCAGGAGGGAGTTCCAGAGGGGGGGGGGGGCAGCGACACTGACGGCACGGTCCCCGAAGGTGCGGAGGCGTGAATGGGGAATGGAGAGCAGGTCGGAGTCTGAGGATGGAAGGGTGCGAGACGGGGGGTGGAGGAGATCTGTGAGGGACTGAGGGCATGGAGGGACTTGTAGGTGACGAGGCGGAGTTTGTAGGTGATGCAGGACTTGACCAGGAGCCAGTGGAGGTTGGAGAGAGTGGGGGGTGATGTGCTGCCAGCGCTTGGTGCGTGTGAGGAGGACCCTGGCAGCTGAGTTCTGGATGAACTGGAGCCTGTCCAGGGTTTTGCTGGGAACCCCGGACAGGAGTCTGTTAAGCTTTGTTTGTTTGTGTTGTTTTTTAAGAAATTACTAGAACAATTTTTAAGTCGAAAGCTTCTAAAGGTTGTGTAACAGTTGGGTAATACGCCTTTCACTCTGAGCCCTTTTTTATTTAATAAATAGTTATGATGAACTATATTATAGGTGTTGTAAGGCCCTTTGTATTCCTTCCTGCCTTTCACACTAGGCTGCTCGATTATGGCAACAATCATAATCTTGATTATTTGGGTCAATAATTGATATCACGATTATTAAAAACGAATATCCATTTACTTTGAAAACATACATTTATTGGAAAAAAAGGTGTAGTATGTTTTTAACAGTTGATTACCCTGAACTTTAAGTATAATTCAATTAGAAAACTAATTAAAAAAAGAATATATATATCTTTTTAATAAATTTAAAAAAAAAAGAATAATCGTTTTATTTCGATTATGTTGTTTTCATAATCCTTGCAAGCCAACATCGTAATTGCGAATTAAAATACAATTAATTGAGCAGCCCTATTTCACTCTGAACCCTTTTTTATTAAAGAAATAGTTATGATAAACTATATTATAGGTGTTGTAAGGTCATTTGTATTAATGAAACAAAAATCTAATTGAGGGCACTGTTAACACTGAAATTGAACTGAAATGAATATTAAACATTTAACACAGTCATTTATTCAACAGGCACTATACTACACAATAAAGTCTCTCAACAGTTAGGTGTGTTTTTTTATTCAGAGCATCCACAACCCTCCGTAATTTAATTTGGATTTAACAGAACAGTGTTGTCATCGAAGCTGAACACAATTTAATGTAAAAGTAATTTAAAGGATGTCATTTTATCATACAATAACTGTTTGTGCTATCGTGACAGGCGCCTTGGGAACTAGCATTTGTTTTCCCCTTGGATGAGACAGACATATTTCTTAGTACTGTCTGAATCTTGCATGTGTTGCAGAGTAAAGCAATGAGGGCTGAAAAGTGTGGTTTTAAAACTGAAATGGTAAAAGCCAGAACGTATTAATAATATGAATCTTTATTTGCATAGCACCTTTCATACAATAAGTGCAGTTCAAAGTGCTTCACATAGACATCTCACAGAAAACTCACATCACACAGAATACAGATGCCAGTACAAGGCAAGGTAAGTTTATTTATATAGCACTTTTCAACACAAGGCAATTCAAAGTGCTTTACAAAAATGAAAGACATTAAGAAAAAGACATTTAAAATCAGTCATTAAAAAGAAAAGCTAATAAAATAAACATTAAAAGAAAAAGTACATGGATAAAAGTTACAGTGCAGTCTAAGATGTGAATAGTTCAATTAAAAGCAGCGGCAAAAAGAAAAGTCTTCAGCCTGGATTTCAAAGTAGTCAGAGTTGCAGCGGACCTGCAGGTTTCTGGGAGTTCCAGATGTTTGGAGCATAATAACTGAACGCTGCTTCTCCATGTTTAGTTCTGACTCTGGGGACAGAAAGCTGACCAGTCCCTGAAGACCTGAGAGATCTGGATGCTTCATCATTTAGCAGGAGGTCAGAAATGTATTTTAGGCCTAAACCATTCAGTGCTTTATAAACCAGCAGCAGTATTTAGAAATGTATTCTTTGACACACAGGAAGCCAGTGTAAAGACTTCAGTAAAAGACATACAAACAAAGCATAGAGTAAAAAACACATTTCGATTAAAGGTACAACGATGTCACAATCAGGTGACAGGTTCAAATGCATTGAGAAAGTGCAGGAGTCCTAAAAGGCTACTTGTACAAATGTGTACAAAAGACTTCCCTGATGTCTGCAGGTATTTTGTTGCATAGCTTTGGGGCAGAGTTAATGAAAGCTGCGTGAATTATTTTTATCGCTGTTTCTGGGAACTTCTAATAAACCGTCAGCCGCAGAGGATCGCAGTTTTCTTGATGGCTTGTAGCTTACTGAAGCATTAAACCAGTGGTTCCCAAACTTTTTCAGTCCCTTGGGTAATTGGAAATATTTTCAGGACCCCCCCCAACCCGGTTCCCATCTATATTGGTAGGATTAATTGTATATTGTTGTAAAACATTACATGTTCTCTGCTAATAATAAGAAGATCCAACTATCATTTTATATTGTATTATGGATTACACATGAACAAAAGTGCTTGTAAGATACTGTGAATTAATTTGGCCTAATTAAAACTGGTTGGCCTTCTTCCCGGAGTAGATTTTTAAATTCAAATTTCTTTAAGGAAAATATATGAATGAACTACTATTTCTACTGCAGGTTGCAAACGATCACATCACTTTACCATTCCTATTCCACACTCGCTCATCAATGACTTGTGTGTGCTTGCTTTCCCTCGCAGGTCTTCTCAAAGCGGGGCTGTTGTTTTGAGACTGCCCCTCAGTTCATTCTCAATGTTCAGCTTTGATCTGTATTTGGTTTTGATGGCAGCAACAGCAGAAAAGCCTCTCACACAAGTAACAAGTAACGAGAGCAAGACTGAGGTCATCTTTTTTAGACTCCAGCCTCTTCTGTTGACATTCTGGGTCCTCTTAAAACAAACATCCTCCCCTCTGTCATGAATCTTGGAGTGACTTTTACAAACACTTTTAAATTCGACAAGCAGGTCAGCAGCGTAGTGAAATCCTGCTTTTTTAAATTAAGAGTATTGGCCAAAACCAAAATTATTTTTTATCTTTTAAAGACCTGGAGAGGGTTATCAACGCCTTTGTGACCTCGAGACTCGATTATTGCAACGCTCTATACGTGGGTATGGACCAGGCCTCAATTAAACGCCTGCAGCTAGTGCAGAACGCAGCGGCACGTCTCCTGACTGGCCACAAAAAGCGTGACTACATCACCCCAATTCTGGCCTCACTACACTGGCTTCCAATTCTGTTCCGAATTGATTTTTAAATCCTTTTATTTGTTTTTAAAGCACTAAATGGGCTCCGGCCTATATAGCTGAACTCCTCCAGCGCTACACCCCAGCCAGAGCGTTAAGGTCTGCTGACCAGCTGCTACTGGTAGTGCCTAAAACCAGGCTAAAAACCAGAGGGCACCGAGCCTTCGCGGCGGCTGGCCCTAGGCTCTGGAACACTCTGCCCCTCCATGTGAGGTCGGCCCAGACCCTAGGGGTTTTTAAATCTAAACTAAAAACTCACTTCTTCACCCTGGCCTTCTAATCAGAGCAGAGCACGACTCATGACACTTCCCTGTGTTCGATTTTTATATTTGATGTTGTAATTTATTGTCTTCTGTTTACATCGGTAGGAATGTGTTATTTATTATCTGCATGTGCAGCACTTTGGCCCGACCGAAAATCGTTTTTAAATGTGCTATAGAAATTTGATTTTATTTGAAGTAATGTTGCAAAAGGCAGCATTATGCCCACAGCTCTCTGACCAATGAGATATTTTCGAGCAGTGTTTGTTTACAATTGAATAATAATAATAATACATTTGATTTATATAGCACACTTTAAAAACAACGTCATCTCTCAAAGTGCTTCCCAAAGCTAAAAGGAGAAAATAATAAAATCTTCCCGCGGCCCCCTTGCAGTACCTCCGCGACCCACCAGGGCCCCACAGTTTGGAAACCACTGCATTAGACCGTTTTGAATCAGCCCTCAGCGAATTCTGAAAGTATAATGAAATACGGCCCACAAATGAAACTTGTGCTTGTCTTGTATTGTACTTCTTAAATATATATGTAAACATATATTACACAGTAGTATTCATGTGTTAAGAAGCCCACTTTGTGAATGAATTCAGTCAATTACATTTGAAAACATTTCCTAACAAATCTAACTTGATAAGAAAAAAGCCCAATGACTTATTTGTATAACAAGCGTGAAATATACCCTTCATATTTCCCCTTACTATAATCAATCTGAAGCTTCTGTTTTAAGGAATGAGCTGCCAACAAAATAAATGAAATCTGTTTGGGAAATAATTGTCCTAGACTCCTAGATATGACGTGCAGGACCAACTCTGACGTCTGCTATCTCCTTTAAGGAGATAGGCTGCTTCAGCCATAATGTTGTTGTTCCCATTCTATGACCGGGCAACCCTAGGTCACAGATGGTTTATTGTTGTGGGTACACTGGGACCAGAGGTCGCGTTAACCGAATATTTTCCGTCTATGACCGATTTTATTTTAACAATGACGGAAAAATCTGAAAGCATACCGTCATTTTGACGGATTAGAACAAACTCGGAACAGCGCCAAAGTTTCCCCGCAGCGAGGTTCCGGTGTTAAGCATGCCTGCCAAAAAGGAAATGATACCGTTTCCAACTTTGCCGTACAAATCATTGAAATGTCTGTGAGTTTTGGCTTTACGCTGTGCGCACTCCCGCGAGGTGCAGTGGGCATGCATAACACGGCGCTAACAGTTCACAAGCGTGCGCCCCGCCCCCCGTTGACAGTTCACGACTGTGCTGCCCCCCCCCCAGAGTGTAAAGGCCGACGGGTAATACTGAATTTTGACGGACATTTTACGATCCTGTCCGTCAAAATGACGGGCAGTGAAAAAGTCTAGCGCAACCTCTGACTGGGACACTTCCTTCTCGGTGTTTGTGGACTCCAAGGTGTGAAATCTTCAAGGCCATAAGTGTCAGACGCAAGTAACTCAGTGTTCCCACTGTTTAGGCTATCTTCTCAAATATGTTGATTACTCTCTGCGAAACCAGTTAACGGCTAACGAGAGAGAGGCGCGCCAGAATTGACGTGGCAACTCTCCCGTGCAGTCAGAACCTCTGGCTCTTGGACTTGTGATGTGAATTCTCCGGCCGAAGCTCCATATAAACCATCAGTGTTTGACATCACAGAAGTTTCCCTTACAGAACCCTCTGGAGAGCTGTGATGTAGGCATAATTGATTTTTACTGACTTTTAACTGAACTTATGAGGCGATAATCCTCTCCTCTAGTGAGCGGCCCAGCCCTTCGTATATTTTTCTGTATGTGGCCCTCGGTGAAAAGAGTTTGGACCCCCCTGCATTAGACCTTTTAAATCGTCTGGCACTGTGCAGACGGCACTCACAGCAGAATGTGGTTGCACATGTTTTTAAAGGTGGTGTTCTCTGCAGGTACACCTTGGCGGAGGGATCTGGGTGGAGGAGGAGAAGTGGCACCAGCTGCAGCGCACCCAGGGAGACTCCAAGTTCACAAAGAACCTGGCAGTCATGATCTGGGGAACAGAGACCCTGAAGAACCGCAGCGTCACGGGAGTGGCCACGAAGAAGAAGAAAGACGCGCTACCCAAACCCCCGCTGTCCCCGAGCAAACTGAAGATCGTCAGAGGTAAGAGACAGGCTTTAGAGATGGCAAAAGTACACACATCCTTTACTCAGGTAGAAGTACAGATACCCTTTACTCAAGTAGAAGTACACACATCCTTTACTCAAGTAGAAGTACAGACATCCTTTACTCAAGTAGAAGTACAGATACTCGTGTTTAAAAATACTCTGGTGAAAGTAGAAGTACTGACTAAACTTCTTTACTCAAGTCAAAGTAAAGAGGCTTTGAAATGTACTTCAGTAAAAAGTACCCATAACTAGCAGCTGCTTTAAAGAGTACCTGACCTCCCTTTATATCAATAGAACAATAATGTCATTGTTAGCTGATGAATGTTTCCATGCTGAACAACGGCAACATGACAACGTTTCCATTGGTCCCTCTTCTTTAGAGAAGACCAGGAAATGATGGATACACGGATTGTGTTCAAATCAATAGGCACGCAATGACTCTAAAGAATAATTGTCAAGTCCTTCAGGGTTTTGGCCTGTATCAGTGATTTAGCCTGACTTGAGAGGCTGGAGGGCAACAGAGGACACTTGGACAACTTGAATTTTGTTCTTTTGTCTTTATTTATTTAAGACGGCTCCAAGAATTCATCAGGTTGAAAACCTTCAAAGTACAAACAAAAGTTAGCACACATGCTACACAAATTACACACATTTTGCAGGCCTCTCTGCATTCTCAATAATAATAATAGCAACACAAACCATGTTTTAATTAAAAGGATAACTTGTTATTTTAAAACCACATCATTAACTTAAATGAATTAATAAGAGTGTTTCTCTCCTTGGAGACAAGCGCCAGAGAAAACCTCATCTGAACACCTGCGCTGTCTAAATGACACAGCAAACAAACGGAGCACAGGCAGACCGCGCTGCGTAACAAGCAGTCGATTGCGCAACAGCACTCTCGCAAAGTGAGGCAACAGATCAAGTACATAAACACAATAAACACAATAAACACCGGAGACACATACCAACGGCGTCTCCGGAGCCTCACACACTCTGTCGCCTGGTTCTCCCTCCGTGGCTTTGGGAACAAGAGACCGGCCATCACAAACTACGCCCCTTATGTTGCCGTGTTACCGGAAGCGGCATTCATATTTTTTCAATACAGCTCGCTTATAAAAGGTAGCCTTGGTCCAAAATAAAACGAATACCCTCTCTTGGTATTGAACAATACTTATGACTCTAAATAATAATGATCACGCACCAAACACACATTCAAACTAAAGGAACCAGCCTGTTTGGAAAATGAGAGAAGTAGAAAGTACAGGTATTTGTGTTCAAAATGTAAGAAGTAGAAAGTACAGGTATTTGTGTTCAAAATGTAAGAAGTAGAAAGTACAGGTATTTGGGTTCACCATGTAAGAAGTAGAAAGTACAGGTATTTGAGTTCAACATGTGAGAAGTAGAAAGTACAGGTATTTGAGTTCAACATGTAAGAAGTAGAAAGTACAGGTATTTGGGTTCACCATGTAAGAAGTAGAAAGTACAGGTATTTGTGTTCAAAATGTAAGAAGTAGAAAGTACAGGTATTTGGGTTCAACATGTAAGAAGTAGAAAGTACAGGTATTTGTGTTCAACATGTAAGAAGTAGAAAGTACAGGTATTTGAGTTCAACATGTAAGAAGTAGAAAGTACAGGTATTTGAGTTCAACATGTAAGAAGTAGAAAGTACAGGTATTTGTGTTCAACATGTAAGAAGTAGAAAGTACAGGTATTTGAGTTCAACATGTAAGAAGTAGAAAGTACAGGTATTTGTGTTCAACATGTAAGAAGTAGAAAGTACAGGTATTTGTGTTCAACATGTAAGAAGTAGAAAGTACAGGTATTTGTGTTCAACATGTAAGAAGTAGAAAGTACAGGTATTTGTGTTCAACATGTAAGAAGTAGAAAGTACAGGTATTTGTGTTCAACATGTGAGAAGCAGAAAGTACAGGTATTTGAGTTCAACATGTAAGAAGTAGAAAGTACAGGTATTTGAGTTCAACATGTAAGAAGTAGAAAGTACAGGTATTTGTGTTCAACATGTAAGAAGTAGAAAGTACAGGTATTTGTGTTCAACATGTAAGAAGTAGAAAGTACAGGTATTTGTGTTCAACATGTAAGAAGTAGAAAGTACAGGTATTTGTGTTCAACATGTAAGAAGTAGAAAGTACAGGTATTTGAGTTCAACATGTAAGAAGTAGAAAGTACAGGTATTTGTGTTCAACATGTAAGAAGTAGAAAGTACAGGTATTTGGGTTCACCATGTAAGAAGTAGAAAGTACAGGTATTTGAGTTCAACATGTAAGAAGTAGAAAGTACAGGTATTTGGGTTCACCATGTAAGAAGTAGAAAGTACAGGTATTTGAGTTCAACATGTAAGAAGTAGAAAGTACAGGTATTTGTGTTCAAAATGTAATAAGTAGAAAGTACAGGTATTTGGGTTCACCATGTAAGAAGTAGAAAGTACAGGTATTTGTGTTCAACATGTGAGAAGTAGAAAGTACAGGTATTTGTGTTCAACATGTGAGAAGTAGAAAGTACAGGTATTTGTGTTCAACATGTAAGAAGTAGAAAGTACAGGTATTTGAGTTCAACATGTAAGAAGTAGAAAGTACAGGTATTTGAGTTCAACATGTAAGAAGTAGAAAGTACAGGTATTTGAGTTCAACATGTAAGAAGTAGAAAGTACAGGTATTTGTGTTCAACATGTGAGAAGTAGAAAGTACAGGTATTTGGGTTCAACATGTAAGAAGTAGAAAGTACAGGTATTTGTGTTCAACATGTAAGAAGTAGAAAGTACAGGTATTTGAGTTCAACATGTAAGAAGTAGAAAGTACAGGTATTTGGGTTCAACATGTAAGAAGTAGAAAGTAAAAAGTGGTCAGAAAAATAAGTAGTGGAGTAAAGTACTGATACCAGAAACAGGTGCTTAAGTACAGCAACAAAGTACTTGTACTCTTCTACTTCCCACCTCCGCCTGGCTTTACACTAAAACAGGAGATCAATCTCTGCTCTGAGGAATTCTTAGCAAGCTGAGACAAGTCGGAAAACTTCAGGAACAGAAACATGATTCCCTTTTTTCAGACAGCCTTTAAGTCATGGAGTTATATTTGTTAGATACTAGTACGGCTGCACAATTTGGGAACAATAACTAATTGTGATTATTTTGACAATTGAATTATCATCGAAAAATATATTAAAATGTTCGTTTATTAAATCAGTTAGATTTTTTGTAGGAGGATATTTGCTGAATAAGGATTTCTTATTGAGTTTATAGGATACTGAATAAGCCTGAACGTCTCTGTAGCACCACGATATTAAATATAAAATTATATTTGAATCTGTTTTAAAACCAAATTTAGCTCTAACTGAGATTTGGATTTTACACGATATACAATTTTTTGTAATTTTTCGCTTTTAATCTGTAATTAATTTTGTGTTTTATATTTTAAGTGTGTTTTTTAAATTAAGTTTTTATGAATTTGACTAAAATGCATTATTATTAATTTTAATAATATTTGGATTCATTGAAATCAGACAGAAAGAATGTTATCCTTTATTTTGGAGTCACAAAGTATGTATATTATATTGTAACTGCACACAAATTCACACAAATATACAACAAAAAAACCCATAAAAGATGATGTTTAACTCTCACTGGCTCCTCCCACAGAGTGTCTCTACGACCGAGTGTCTCAAGAGACCGCCGACAGTGCGGAGATCACGCAACGATTGTCCAAAGTGAACAAATACATTTGTGAAAAGATCATGGACATCAACAAGTCCATCAAGAACGAGGAGCGGCGGGAGTCCAAGCTGCTCATCAGACAGACTGTGAAGGTGGAGAGCTTCACCTACGACGGGATGTAGGGGGATGTCACACTTTCAGGAGATATTTTTATTTCACACGTTGGATTAGTCGTTATGAAACGTTAAAAGAAACCCCTTCAAAGCGCCCAGGTTTCAGACAGCTTTACCCCGCAGCGAGAGGTGTGTTGGATCTGAGTGTTTTATAAGCTTTACAGTGGGACTGGTACCGAGACATGGTTCATTATCGTGTGCATTTGTGTCAAACGGAGAGATTAGATGTAACTGTTAAATTGATTTATTGTTCTGTGTCAGAACATAGCTTTGAGTCCTTTAAACTTTTAAAAAGTAAGAGGTTTATTTCCCTGGATATAGTATATGTGATGCTATGAAGATGATGATGCTAGCATGCGTTAGAACTTGTGGATATTTTGGTGACTACTGACGGGATGCTGTTGGTACTTCCTGCATACAATGGGCCATCAGGGTCTCAAATGCACAAGTCTTAATTGAAAACAGCCATATTGTATTTTGCAACGGAGATTCTGTTGCTCTAAGAGATTAATTATAAGTGTGTGCGCCCCTCAGCTGTAGGTCCGTTTATTAAAAAGACGACTTGCAGAGATTAGATGATAGTATCAGTCTATATTAGTTTTTTTACGTTTTAGGGTTTTGCAATCAATGAGGAAGGTTTGGGTGGGATGTTGTTGTGTTAATCTCACGAGTCACTTTGAGACGATTTGACTGTTTAATGAGTTGTAGCGGTACAGGCACGCTGATGCCTAGAAAAGGCCTTAAATGGATTTGGCAATCACCGGGGGCTGATATGCCTCTGGGTTTTCTAGTAAGCTGTGATTGTAAATGTATAGCTGAAGCGACGAAGCTTCACCTGCACTTTGCTGTGAGAATGTGAGAGGTGGCTGGCTACTAGGTACTATTCACTGTGCGATTCACACCGTTAGTTACGTGCTGCCTCCCCTCTTTAGTTAAAGGTCACCTATTATGCAAAATCCACTTCTTCTACATCAATATGTGTCCCCTCTGTGTAAAGAGACTCTGGACGTTTCAGGAACAAAGTTTCTCTGTAGATGTTTGGGTTGTGTAACCGTTAGCCAATCAGCAACCAAGGTTGCCCCCCCCCCCCACCTTATCACCTGAATCTCCTCCTAGAGCACCATTGTGTTCTTTGTAACCAAACCTCTCTCAGAGGGGCTCCTTATTTTCAGACAGAGAATCAGCCCTTTTGAAACAGGGCTGAAACAGAGGGGATTATGGGATGATCTGTTTGGTGTTTCAGCCAATCAGAGACAGGCTTTGGATATATCTGAGACCTGTGATATATTGATGAGAACCAGTATGACAGGGGACCTTTAAAGGAGAGGGGGCACGGCTCAGCTCATAGTGACGTGGAAGCAGTGTTAGCTGAGGGTAAAGCTGTCTGAAGGACTATCTGAAGGCTTGGTGAACCCCATAATAACCCTTCTCTCTTTTTATAGCCAGGCCACTGGGGAACAAAGTTAAGGTCGCTCCAGTGACAGTTTCCGTCAGAACTTTGAAAATGTCCTCGTATTTTCTTCTTTCCTCTCTCCACTTGTTTTTATTGTTTGGATCCAAAATGGTTTGTGTGGCCGTCTGCAGGCTGGAACTAAACGCTGCAGATTGAAATCTCAACTGTGACCCATCTGTAGCTAACTGTGAATCTGCTGCAGCGCTGCCCATCAAGCCTTCTCCTCCTCTACTCGACACTCTCCTTCCGTTTATTTCCGTCTATCATGTTGTCTGTCTCTGTTTTGGTTTTGTTCAAGATCAGCCTTTTTGTTAAGCTACCTTTTTGTTCCGGAGGTATTTTAGTGTACATATTCTATTTTTTAAACATGGATATTTCAGTTTCTAATCATCTTACATATTGTAGTTTTTAAGGTTCTGGTCATGTGTTGGTTTCTCTGATTGATGTTGTTATTCCATGTTACCTGATGTTTCTTTTTTATATATATTTTTCCATATGAATTGTTGGCTTTAAGCTTGATGTTGTATCCAAATGTAGATCGGTAGGAATCTACGAACAAATGAAAAATATATATCTTAGCCAAAGTGATCTCTGTGGCACAAGAGAGACAAAGCTTCCCTTAAACAGAGTCCAATATGTAATTATCCTCATCAATGATCTGCCACAGATGGATGAGAACTGATATGGTTCAACCATTGTACTCAATTGAGATTCAGTAGTTAGATCTTACATTGAATGCACTTTAAACTTTTGGGCAATTTCTCCAATCTTAAAGAAATGTACTTTCCTTTTTCTAAATATCTCTATAGATAAAGCCCAGCAATCATTGTATTATCATAAAGCACCTTAGAGCATTTTGGTTTTATTGTTTTGATGGCAAGATGGGATTCAGATATAACCCCGATATACCAATGCTTCAAAACAAAAAGTAATTATACGACTTCTTCTCAATATTTAGTTACTGGAAGACTTAGTCGGGGTGTTAAGAAAACTAGATTTCTACAAGTCAAACTGTGTTGAAACTTGATTTTTTAAAACCCCATCACGGCCTCGTGAACAAAAAATGGCTTTCTCGACAAAATTGACAAGCTACAGTCAAAGATATTAACCTCTGAAATGTGCAAGCTGACTGGAATGTGTGCTTTAACTTAATGTGTGAAGATGCTGGTGTTGCATAGATATGACTTGTATAGAGATAATTGTGTATTTTTTACAAATGAGTGGTGATTGTAAGCCAAAGTATTGAATGCTGAGATCAAGCTAAAGAAGGGGGGGGGTGCTGACGGAGGAATCAGCAACGGTTTGCACAAAAGATGTCCCATGCCAAGGTGATGGAGCCGAGTGAATCTTAAGACACCAAATTGGTGACATTATTTTTTTTTGTTCCTAAAAAAAACAACCCTTTCTTATTTGTGTTCCCTGTACAAAGCAACATGTGAGGTTTATGTGCGCTTGCGTGTATTTGAAATACATGCGGTTTAAAAGAAAATATTTCTGCTGTGCAACGCAACCATGCTGAAACTCTGACACGTTGTGTTGTGTTTGTGTTTCTTTGTTGTTTGATGCCAAAAGGGGGTGCGGTTTAAACATAATGCTTTAAGATGGAGCATTAATAGAGCTCTGAAATGCTAACTTCTGTTCAAAGGCTGGTTTCCTGGAGCGCGATTAAGCCCTAATCCTTTAACTAAAACCATCTTTCGTGGATGAAAGCCGTATTGGACGTACTGTGTGTTTTAACCCAGATTTGGCTTAATCTGTGATGGCAAGGCCAATCTCTAGCACTTGCAGAGGAGCAGTTTGGGTTGTAGCAGCACATTTAGTAACGTACACCAGTACACAACCTGGCACAGAGTTGAATTGATGATTTAGGCTCTGAGACACACATCACCTTCCAGTACTCTCACTGTCACACTCAAGTAGCGGTAGGATAGGAGACGTAACCTCTCTGGCTCTGATCCTCTTCCTGTGCCACCTCTCGTTCCTTACTCTCCTGTCATTTATACGGACTGGATTTTAAATGTAGTATCAAGATAATCGCGAAATCCTGTCCTCATCTCTTGGCTTATGTTGTGAACGCTTGTCAAAGCTTCAGAAGCTTTATGTCGCTTTCTAAATCGAGCGGGGCGAAAATAAACTTCACTGTGTGAGACTAGATAAACGGTGTGATTTAGCAGTTTTCACAACTAAGTACACAAAACACATTACCGTCTGAGCCTCAGATACAATGTCAAACTTACTTTAAAAGGAGTACACACATTGTCAGGCCTATATTTTTCTTAAGGTAACTTTGTATACAATCCACAAACCGGTTCTACTTCATCTAACTTCACCGTCCTACCTCATTGTTACTCTGGTGTTTGTTTGTCAGTGACTGTAAAACTTTTTGTGGATATTAAAAAATAAAATAGGAATAGCTATACCTGGTTACTCTCAACATGTACAGCATATAAAACACCTCAGTACACAATATCATTCTTAGGAGAAATCAGTTTTATTACCTGCTTTAAGATGCTGCTGAAGGGTGTCTGCGTGACGGGTCGTCTCCGAATATATATCTTTGCTGTGTCGTGCAGTTGATCAGTGGTTGTGTTCTGTCTGTATTGCATTCTGAGATTTGTACTGGTTGACGGTGCTACCAGCAAACAGTTCAAAATCTGATCTGTCTATCGGACCTCAAATTGTGCTGTTTTTATCCTCATACGGCTATGTTTTATTCAGGTGTGTCAACCGCTACTATCGCCCTCAGCTAATCAAATTCAAAGCCAAAATATTTCGCTAAATGATAACCCTCGCTTTTACTGTATCGACTATATGCTATCCATCCAAATATTGTAGATAGTGAGTATATCCTCAGCTGAGAGTTTCAGAAGTACCTCAGAACTTGCTGGTTTTCAATGGATGCATCTGCTTCTAGCACCTACCAATACTACATTGTTGTATTTTCAGAAATATGCATTTTTACTGGTTAGTTCAGGTTTCACTATACATAGGACACATGATTATTAGATTACCGACCAATACATTTGAAAGGATACCACTGTTCACTGGTTGTTTGCCAGGTTGTCATTAAAGGAAATCTCAGTTGCAGTAGAAGAAGTCCTCAGAAAAACCTCGATCTGTTTGAGTCAATGTGAAGTTTTTACAGAAACTGGATTCCATTGGTAGTTCGACTAGGGTTAGAAAACAGAAATAATGCACAAACTACAGCCCCGTCTTGTTAAAAAAGTTGTTGAATATGTGTTAAAACATCAATGAGAGTCTTCATGGAGAGTTTTTGGGGAGTTCCAGCATCTTACCTTGAGTATTATTGGTTATTTTGAGTAAACAACTGTATCTTTTTGACTCTTTCTGATGTACAATCAACCATAGTGTTGCAATTAGTCCATGATTGGCTTACTAAAATAAAATAAAATGCATTATATTGTATATGTTACCCTGTGCAGCGACACCAATGGAATCCTTTCTGCGCCAAAGTGTTGGGGTTGCTCTACCTGTCCGTATGTATATATGTGTTTTTCTTTCTTCTTTTTTTGTTTTACGTTGACCATGTCTGCGAACATGTAATGTGCTGGGCAACTCCTCTCTACTGTGAGCTAGTGTGTGTTCAAAATACAAACCCTGTTGGTTTTCATGGAAGCACTTAAGCCATTCATTGGACTGTTTCATAAAAGGTTCAATTCTCAGCTTTGCTCTGATCCAGGGAATTCGACCCAGAGAGTTTTGTGTGTAATTGAATTCCTATGCAGGTGTTCGTAAATCACCTGGTACCACAACTGGAGAGCGTTCACACCTCTGAATGTGTCTGGGATTGAATCACATGGGACAATGGCGACATGACAAATCTATACTGAACTATTACTCACATGTTCACACTCGTGGAGTTGAATGAAACTGAGCTTTACAGGGCTGCTTGGGTTTAAACCTGTCTGTAGTGTAACTGCATTAGTAGGGGGTTGATTGCAATGATCATTAGGGAAATACAGGGTTATTACTGTATGGAGTATTTCCAGTTGGTATGATAATGTGAAAAGAATTTCCAGACTGTTGCAGTAAACTCTCCCTCCCAGAGGCAAACCCTGCATTTACAGAAGACGGTAGAGATGTACACGTCTTTGCTAAACCGGCCACACCTCTGCTATGCGAGCAACTCTGACGCTTAGCATCCTGTTCTGTGTTTTTCTCTTGCTGCATTCAGGAACACCTGTTTAATGTAAAACAGAAATAAATCCAGACTTTTATTCTATCAGCACAAACCTCTTGTCTTTTTTGTCTCGTGTTCTTTTCCTCGAGGAATAAAGAGTCATGTTGGAAACTCAAAGATTAAACACAATATTCATGTTTGTTGGTTCATTTCTTTTTGCAAGAGTTCAGTGCCATGATTGCTCTGGGGAAGAAACTGTCTTTGAGTCTGTTTGTCTTTGCTTTTATACATCTGTAGCATATACAAATACTGTATGTAACACTGTTTTGATACCTCTTCCTCCTCCATACTATATTTGTGCTGTGTTGTTGTTGCTGTGTGTAAAAAAAAAAGGCTAAGAAGTTGAACTTTGTGAACCTACTGGACTAAATAATATCCATTTCACAGACTTTTCTTTTACATATATGTTTTAAAATTGGGTATTTTATGAACTGAAAACACTGTGAAAGGATAGAGTCCCCGAGATTTGACAACACCATGTGATAGTGACCTGTCAATCACATCCCACCCTAAATCATATGCTGCTTTTCTACATAGGATCATAAATCACAAAGTTGTGTCATTTTCTCATAGACGTCTATAGAATCTGATTTAAGTTGCAGTCAGAGAAGTCGTCCCCTGCTCAATATAAAAAAACAAAACGGATTTAAGGCACTTCGTTTCAATTTCAGACCGAACATTTAGGGCTTGGTCTGTACAGTAATCATGAAGCTACTGCCATTAGCCAGTAAGTGTAGCTTAACATGAAGAAAATAAAGGGAAATGGCCAATTTGTACCAGGGAAAATAATACAGCTCCTTTACAGCTTGCATGTCGTTTGTTAAGCCCGCGCCACACTGTCCCGAAATTGACACCCGATAAAGGAAATAGTGTTGTCCCGATACCAATATTTTGGTTCCGATACCAAGTCAAGAATTGCGATTCCGATTCTGTTTCGAAAAAAAGGGAAACAGCCTTAAATGTAATTATTGTGCTTTATTTCACACCGGAATCATAACCATAACACAAACCTTTAAACAATGAGAACAATAAATAAAATAAATGACAAGAATTCGTATTAAATAAAAATAAGCATCATCTCAAACTACTTTTTTGTCAAAATAGATTTGTATATTAAACAACAGAAATGACATTCAACACAATGAGGTCTCCGACAAAAAATAGAACATAACCTCACTGTCAGAGATATCGCTCAAATACTTCCAAATTTCGCTTCTGGCGTCTTTGTTGTCAACAAGCCGAGGCGCAGCGGCAGCTGCACTCCCACTTGCAGCCATGCTTCTCGTTTTCTCACATGTTCTGGCAGCTAGCGCGTGCACGAGAGAGGGGAGGGACTTAGAGCGTGCTTGAGAGGGGAGGGACTTAGAGCGTGCTTGAGAGGGGAGGCACTTAGAGCGTGCTTGAGAGGGGAGGCACTTAGAGCGTGCTTGAGAGGGGAGGCACTTAGAGCGTGCTTGAGAGGGGAGGGACTTAGAGCGTGCTTGAGAGGGCAGGGACTTAGAGCGTGCTTGAGAGGGGAGGGACTTAGAGCGTGCTTGAGAGGGGAGGGACTTAGAGCGTGCTTGAGAGGGGAGGCACTTAGAGCGTGCTTGAGAGGGGAGGGACTTAGAGCGTGCTTGAGAGGGGAGGGACTTAGAGCGTGCTTGAGAGGGCAGGGACTTAGAGCGTGCTTGAGAGGGGAGGCACTTAGAGCGTGCTTGAGAGGGGAGGCACTTAGAACGTGCTTGAGAGGGGAGGCACTTAGAGCGTGCTTGAGAGGGGAGGCACTTAGAGCGTGCTTGAGAGGGGAGGGACTGCAGGCACGGCTGCAGTGAAGGGAGTGGAAGCAGAGCGCTGAACACACACGGCTCTTATTAAAACGGCGCTTTCTCACCAGAGTACTTTTCCCTGTCATTCTTAAAGTACCGATACTAATGAAACGGAGGAATCGTAACGTTTTTAACGGCAGGGTATCGCGATACCTTTCAAGTATCGGTACACCGTGCAACACTAAAAGGAAATGTTCAAATTCGGCTCTGATCGTAGCAACATCGGGCCATTTGTGAGGGCATCGCCATCTTATGACCGCCGGTGGAGTTTCTCAGGCTCCGGCAGCAACTTCGTAAGGCACTCGTGAGGGCATCTTGTCAAATCGTGTCATCTTCGTGTTATCATCGGTGCATTCGCCCTCACTCTGATCGGGGCGAATGCCCGATGGCACTGATGATAACAAGATGCCCTCACGATGGCCTTACGAAGGGCACAATTGACACACAAATTCAACACGAAAATTAACCTTCGCAAGGTCTTTCGTAAATTTGTTGGCATGCCAAAGATTTTGCCACCGCTCACGAAGTTGCTGCCGGAGCCTGAGAAACTCCACGGGCGGTCATACGAAGGCTTAAGATGCCCTCACGAATGGCCCGATGTTGCTACGATCACAGCCGAATTTGAACATTTCCATTATCGTGTGTCCATCGGGTTTTTTATTAAACACAATCATGTAGACATATTATGTAAATCAGTGGTTCTCAACTGGTGGGTCGCGGACCCGTTTCGAGTGGGTCGCAGATGTGTGAGGGAAGAAAAAATAAATATGTTTTGTGGAAAAAACTTTTATTTTGAATGCCCGATTTTCTAACGCTGTGCATGCAGTCGGCGTTGGACTGGAAGTACCGGAGACCATAAGCGGTTTTGAAAACTTCTGTAACATCTTTGCTGATATTTTTTCGAGTCTTCTGGCCAATCAGAATCAAGATTGTTGCCGGAAGTCCCCACGGAGAATAACTTTGCGGTAAAACTATTCTTTATACATCCATGTGTACAACTTCAGATCAAAATGAACACATAATCAAATATGACCCCCGGTTCGATGATTGACAGGTCACAGAACAATGGGGGCTATCTACGCTTACCCACAATTTAAAGTAAGTCACACAGACTATCTCCTCGTTGCTCTTCTCTCTGTGTCGAGCAGCAAGTTCAGCTTCAGAACAAAGTGAAATACAAACAATGGCATCAAATATTATTAATATGTCGGGTAGTAATAGATTTATTTATTTTCTTCTCAGAGTACCAGAATGCATAGTTTATATGTTAGTATTTTTAAAAATCTCCTGGGGGAGAATCCCCCCAGACCCCCTGCTGGGGTTGGGTTTTCAGCACGTGTGCCTTTTTATGTTATACAGTTCAGCTTTGATTCCATCATCTCATTAAACCTTATTTAAAAGCATACTTTAGTTCTGTGAAGGGATATAAGGGAGATATGCACTGTACTTCACTTTCATTAATATTGTACGCTGAAAAGCGTAGATATTACAGCACGATTTTTTTGTTGAATAGATTTGAGTGGTTCAAAATTTCGGGCCGCGATCTATTGACTAAGGAAAAAGTGGGTCCCGAGGCCTGACCAGTGGAGAACCACTGATGTAAATAACCCAATTTATGTTCTGTGAAACTGAAAAGGATATAATATATTATTTTGAAGGCGAGTTGACAGGAAGTTGTTGTTGCTATGGAAACAACATTACGGAGAAAACTTAATATCTTCTGAAAATATCAGTACTGTATCATAGTACTTTAACATAATTGTTTTTGTTACTTTCGTTGCAGTTGTATGTCTTAAATGTAATGTAAATGTTGCCTTCATATGTGGTTCGGGGCCATCTTCGTGCGAAATTCACAATTCCATATTCGGGTGTCAATTTCGGGACAGTGTGACAGGGGCTTTAAGAAATGATTCCCAGTGGTCGTAACTTCCTGAGATCTCGTATGGCTGTTTCTCTCTTGTTGGTGTTTTCCAGTCTTTGTGCTAAGCTAGGCTAAGCTAACCGGCTACTGACAGTAGCTCAACATCTAGTCTAAACGTCTGAGGTTTCAATCTCCTACTGTGTCATTTTCTCATAAGACGCTATTCAGGAGAATACAGGCTTGGTCTGTAAGTTAAATATGATGCTACATTCGCCAGCTATTGTAGCTTAACATAAAAAAACATAACTCTTCCTACCAGTTTCTCTCCAGCTTTCTAGTTTGTTGAACCAAACAAAAACTAAAATGTGAAACACATACTTGACACTTGGGGTGGTAAGTAACTTATTGTGGTATTGCTGTTTCTCCCTTGTTGGTGTTTTCCAGTCTTTGTGCTAAGCTAGGCTAAGCTAACCCGCTACTGGCACTAGCTCAACATCTAATTGGTTTAAGTATGAGGGTTCATTCTCCTAATCTAACTCTCCGCAAGAAAGCAGAATAAAGTTATCCCCAAAATGTGAAACGTTTGCTTTTTTTACCACCTGCATCAAAACAATTGATAACAACCCGAAGCAGACGGCAACTGTCAATCAAAATGTCTGCCGCTTTCTTGACAAATCAGTGTGACCGCACCCCATTGTTCCCGGTTGAGACAAATTTCCTCAAGTTACAAGTGAGCACCACCTCAATATGTAGATTTTTAAATCACCAAATCGGGGTTGAATCTGGTCAATAGTTTGGAGCCGGAAAAAATACCTCAAGTCTTTTAAAGTGTTATTTCTTACAGTGAAAAACCACTTAACTAATGTCGAAGGAGTTTTTATTTTCAAATTGATGTCCGTGTGCTGAATGGGTTTCAGAAAACCTTAATGACCCCAATAGGCTAATGCAAATTCCTCAGCACAGCATTACCTGGCAACTTTTAATTTAATTGCACGGACTAAAATTAGACATACAATGGTAACAATTTACTTTTTTAAAACAGCTCGGCCAGGAGTCTGACACCGTGAATACAGACGGGCTGACTTCCAGACACTCTGAGTTATACTGCTATTTCACTGATTAAAATAAGATGACTTTCACAAAAGTAACACAAGTTTTTGTCACTAATTACAACAAAAAGACCATGAGCAAAGAATAGAAGAATACCCATGGAGACATGGTTTGCACTGGTGGAAACCTAAGTAACATTTTAGCTTTTAAATTGTCTCTGTGCGTTCTAACGGCCCGTCCACACTACAGCTTCAAAAAAAGCTTGGAGCTGGGCGTGTCTGAAGCTCGACCAACAACCAATCACATGAATCTCCCGCCCCTAA